GCATGTACGCCGCTAAATATGAATACAGGTATTCAAACTGCAGTCTCCGGTTCCAGTCCAGAGAACCGAGCAATTTTCAACGAAGGCGAATGTTTGGCACAGCGAAGTACATATCTTCCGTCGCTACGGCTGCATGAAGGCTCGTTATAAACCTGAGGAAACTGGCAAGACACAAACAGAGATAGGTAAGATTTCAGGCTTTTGGTTCTGGGGCTGTACTTACATAGATAGATGGTTCTAAGATTCTCGATTCAGCGTACCAAATTCAGCATTATCAGAGCGGAACTGAGTAAACCTGAATGAAGGCATTTATGTCCAACAAGCGAACAATAATAATTTTTAATTGCCTTCTCCTATACAATTACAACGCATTTAAGCTAACTTAAAACAGTGCTAACCAGCAAACAAAGAATAATATCTTCATCTACCATTGCCGCTACTCCTTTCGGGTCACGGAGGCAAACGCGTCAGACACAGCTTACAACGTTCCCGATCCTGTGCCAGACTCTGAACTTCTGCAGAAGACAACTGGAGTCTGGAACAGACTCCTTCCATATATTTCCACCAGTTTAATTTTGGCTGTCGCCCGGGGCATTCTGAAGCTGGGTTTTGCAAGAAACAGTTCCTTAGCCTTCCTCTCTAGACGCATTCGCAACACATGCCCAAACCATCGCAGCTGTGACTTCTCAATCTGGAGAAGCAAAGGCTGCACACCAAAGCTCATCCAGATGTCAATATTCCGGACCACGTCGAGACGCGTAAGACCAGGAACTCGTCGAAGAAAGCCCGTTTCTAAAGCCTGTACCCGGGTTAGAAGCTTTATAATGATGATCCACGACCCATGACCGCTGGTAAGCATCTAAATAATGATCAACTTGAACACTGAGAGGATAGTTTTCAGAGTGAGCTCCGCTTTAGTCACAGTGGTTCGAGCCAGTTCACGCAGAACGCCACACACTACTCCAATTCTTCGATCGATCTCTTCCTCAAATTTTCCATCACTAGAAAATACGACT